ATACCATGAGTGTACCCTAAAAAGATAAGAATATATATATATTTAAAGTTGTAGTTTTATATATTTTATAATTAGTTATTTAAATTCTTGTTGAAGTTGAAATGTTGGTTTAGCAAATCGGCTCACAAAGTCAGTCTAGATTTATCCAATTCATTCGCGGAGGTAACGTCCGAGTCTTAAAAACGCGTTCACGCAGGAGAGCAGAAAGGATACGATCGCGCCAGCATGCCTTGAGAAAACAGGTATGCCTTTTGCTCAAATATTTAAAGCTCAAAAGCATCGGTTCGAAATGCCAGGAACCGACTTCTGTGATCGTACATACGTCGATTCGCGACAATCTCCTTTTCCTTCGCGCACTTAGCAGCCACCACGTTGACGTTTCGGTCCCGGCGTCGCGACACCCTCCTCATTGCGGTTGCCTGATGCTCGTCGTGGATGCTCGCCGTCTCGGTTGTACTACTATTTAATGCGTGTGAATGTGCGCAAAACGTAATGAAGGTTCGCGTTCGCGATCGTTAAACTCCTTCGACCTTAAGGAGGGTGAATATCGAGAATCTCCTTTCGCTCAGCAGCCAAACTGCCCTCAAAGAAATCTTGTGGATAAACTTGAACGAGCGACATTATTACTCAGGAAGTGATCAACAAATCGCCAAGTTTAAAATGAAACGGAAAGATAAACGAATTAAAATGATATTTATAAAGAGCAGGATTATTATCTCAAGTATTGTTTGGGAAGATTTGAAAATTATGGCCTTGCGAAAGAAATTTTTCGCGATTAAAGATTAAAGTTAAAGGAAAAAAAAAGAAATGTATAGATGTACTTATCGTCTATAATTTTTACTTTTAATTGTACTATTGGGTTTTTAAGTTTCTCCCTCCTCTTTCTCGAAGCTGAAGTCGATTGAAATCACGACGGTCGGAACGGCGAACGCGTCTCGCTCGCTTCACACGTGTCTTGTATGTAATACATAGCATCTTGTACATAGGTAGGCTAGTTTTATATACTACTAAAGAAGAGTCCGACGTGCGATACTCGCCGTGGCACGCTTCGAAGTAATTAAAAATAAAAAAAAAAAAGATTCAAGTTCAGGGGCTAATTTATATAAATCCATATGTGCATATGTATAAAAGGCGGAAACTGTATGAAAATGACGCGTTGGGGTGTATGATCCTTATAGTTGCGGCTACGTACATAAGAAAGAAAAATATTAAGAGGGCGCCTAAATTTTTTAACTTTTTGGGGCCCTGGTCCGACTGCCCTTCTTATTCAAACGTTCTCAAATCTTGAAATTCGAGTAATGTAGTGATTGCGGCAAGCTAATTGAAGATCATGTTCTTAAATGATTTCATCCATGAAAAAATATCGTCTTGCGCACTTATTTGCATCGATGATAGTAGAAAAATAATTGTTGAAAAACTTAACTCGATCTGCGTTGATAATGAACTCTTCGATTATAATCTATGCCATACGTGATTTGTAATAATTGATATGCGCACATTTAACATCATTAATGCGAGCATTCGCATATGATTGTTTGTATAAAAAAATTCCAAATTTTATTGAATTCGGAATATTTCAGCTCAAAAAAAAAAAACTGTTGACGGTTAAATTTTTATATTGAAAATATATCGCCGTAGCAAAAATATATTAAATATATTAAATGCGTGTGTTGGTACAAAAGAAATACGTGGGCAATTCGAATTTTTCCTTCACTCGGTCGAGAACTTGAAGTTATTTTGTTGCAAGTGGCTCGTCGAGGTGAGGTGCCAAAAGCGAATGGGCGTATGCCAGCAATCTCGATAGGTAGCGATATGTGAAAATTCCAAGTGCTCTTACATCGAAAGAATTTTTACATCGTATTGTAACCGAAATTTATTAATCATACAATTGGTTAACGTGTATTACGTGATGTATTTTTGCGAAAAATATAAGTCTATTTACTATTTCCGTGTATTTGAAATTATTTTCCTTGGTGTGAAATTTATTAAAATATATATACATGCAAAAATTTTTCGGATAATATCATACTGTAAAATACTATAAGTGAACAAAAGACCATGATATACAAATCATTTACTTATTTTGAATCATGTATAATAATAAATTGTAACGATGTAACCAATCCTTAAAGGATACATCGTCTATAGTTGCTTCATTAAGCACCATCACTTCTTGTATATCTTGGTTTGTCCTAAAATACAATACAATTAAAATTGAAATAATCGCAGCATTCACGAGGCATAACTTACCAAGCAGTTAAGATAGTATTGAAACGTCTGATCTCTTCATGCGCCTGATCGCAAACAACTTTGGCGAGGTTTAGCAGCTCCAGACTATTGTAATTACTTTTTTCTCGAGGTGATACTAATTTATCTATGCACTCTACCTCTCCCGTTGATACGGAACTATGTTTTGTGTAAATTATATTGGCGATCACATTTCTGTAGCATTCTATGAGAGAGTATATCGGAATTTGTATCATTGGGAAGTAAGACTTGATTCTCGCACATTGTGGATTAATCGTGGAAATGGAAGCATTGTCGAGACCACAAATTGCATGTCTGCAAGAAAATTCATGCGACATATTGGTTGTGAAACGCAAATATAAAATTTAACGTGGAAAGCTATTACCAACCTATACAAACATACATCTCCCTTCAACATTACTTTTCGCAAAGCATTAAGATCCAAGATATTATAAAACATATCTAGCTCAATATCCAATGCATTATTCATGCAATTTGCATTATAATTATCAGCCTGTAACGCTATTATCCTCTGCAATTCATAATGTAACTTTTCTTTCCCTTTAAGTATAAGGGTTGGTGTAGAGTTTAAAACTGTTATAGATTGCTGAATGTCTTTTATATATTTATCCTGTAACATGTTTGACATCAGTCCATAAAGTGTGTTAAATGTAAATATGCTAAAACATACCATCTGTGCATCAATTGCTTCTATATCAGCTGTTATTTGACCTATATTGAGATTAAGTAAAGAATTTTCCTGGATATTATTCTTTAATTTCTGAAGTTCATTTTGTAGATAAATCTGTTCGGCTTTTAATTTTTTTACTTCTAATTTTAAAGCTAACCATGCGCTTACATCTTCATGAGACAATGACTGTAAGATGAGATATATATTAATTTTAATTGTCTTATATTATTCATTAACTATATTTTTTATTATAATTTGATATATTTTTAAGAGACTCTTTATGTTACCTCTATCACTTCTATGAATTCCATTAAACGTTCCTGATATATGTTAGCTTTGGTGTTAGATAATATACGTTTCGAAATCATACGTATATATTGCCCACATGCTCTCGCAATACCGATATCTATATTTTCACCTACTACATTTGGACTGTTAAGATCATGTTTGATCTCCAACTTCATCAATGTGTCCAAGTCCTGTGATAGCGTTTGATACAAATGTGTCCACAGTACGTGTACATCGATAAGACCAAGAGAACTTGATATTTTTGCCCATACCTATTATTAGAAAATATCATTTTTATTAATATTCCGTCATTTTAACTTTCCGCAAACAATGAATTTTAAGGAATTGATTTTTTTATTATAAATTTTAAAATGTTCTAGTAGGTAAAGGGAGAGTATCTTCTGTCAACAAAATTGAGAGATTAATGAGATTATATGAGTATAAGAATGCTAATATTCAGTTCTAAATAATGACAATGCAAAATGTTTTTTTTTTTTCAATGACTCTGATCATAAATTATGTATTTTTGTAAATCAATAATTTAAATTTTTTCTATGATTCATATGCTTTTTTGATGCACACTTTAAAATATAAATATTTTGTTTTCAGATTAGATTTTTTAATATACTTGATTTTTATATAATTTTCAGTTTTTCTTTTAAATTTTTTCTCTATGGTTTTTATAATTTTGGTTTTTTAATTTTGTTTATATAAAAATAAATTTAATAATTGATTTTCTGTAAAAATAATTTTATTACTTTTTTCTAGAATGATATTTTTTTCTTTTTCACAAAATCTTCATTTTCAGATATTCAAATAATTTATCTCTTTAGAACCAACTTTATGGTACTATTTTTTTTTAATACCTTGAAATATTATAGTCTAGAAAGTTTTTTTTTCATGAACTCATATAAAAGTCATAAATTTTTAACCGAAATCATATTTTTTCAATATTTCTACTCTACTTTTGATTTGTAAAAGATAAAGAAAATATAATTTGATCTCTATGATAGTAAAAACTTATTATCAAAAGTTTTATAAATATGCGAGAATTTTGACCTTTTTTCAGATTTTTATATAAATCTAGAGCAATGCAAAAAAAACTATATTATCCTTCAAAGATTTAAGTTGCAAACGAAAGACATTACAATACATATTGTTCACAGAGAGTTAAATATTCCAATATTATTTTATACAATATTTTATAATAAAGATATTAACTTGTTTCTTATCTGCCACTGAACGACGTAGGTTTGCTACTATATCCAGATTTTCCTTTAATCTCTGTTGATCTATATCTTTAGAGGTGTTTGGCATTAAGTGTTGACATACTCGTCTCATGTCACTACAATCTTTTAGCTGCTTACTAGTTTCGCTGTGTTTTAACTTAAGAAAATCCTTCCTTATACTGGTCATCGAATACTTATTTTTTATGTCCTTCAATCGCTGCACTAACAATTTCATCAAATTTTTTAAAATTACATCAAAATATTCTTGATATCAATATACATTTTTTATCTTACTCTTTTGCCTGACAGCATGATCTTGTTCTTCATATTCTTCTTCTAGCACGGATATTTGCTGCTTCAGAGTGTTGCTTGTAGATCTTAATTTATTTAAGTTTATCACAGATAAAATTTCAGTATCTTTAAACCCATGTTTTAGCTTGTATAATAAAATATTCTTTCTTATATTACATGCTTCAGCCATAGGAAATACAGAACTAGAAATATCTTCCCACAGAAGCTCCAATACTCCTTTGCATAATCTGGTAAAGAAAAAAAAATTAGGCAAAATGAAAACAGTGAGAATTTGGATAGATATAAATAATGAACAGACATTTTTTTCACAGAATCATTATATACTGTTAGCGGACATTCCAGTCGATGAGTCCATGCAAAATTATCTACGTTCATGATGATTCTGTTTTATTCCTAAAAAAGAACATACAATAAACATGATTTATCAACATGATCTATAAACATGATTTAAAACATTTTTATTTAATATAATAAGTTAAACATTAATATATAACATATATGTATATATTTACATATATTTACATATATTTACATATATTAAAATGAATAAATAATAAGAACTGAATTATTAAATTTAAAAAACAGTTATTTTTATTTCGAAAATTCTAATTCTGTGAATACTCTGATTTCACATTAGATATGTAAGCTGTGTTTTCGAAAAGTATGTGAATGAGCATTTAGGGAGTAAATTTATGGTATTTCAAGAAAATTGAATTCAACTTATTAATCATCACGTGCATACACGATTAATCTTCATGTAAATAATTTATATCAGCCACAAATTCTATTGTGATTTTCAATTGACAGCGCGCTCGTCCACAACACAATGTTTTTGCACGTAACGTATTTGAACTCTTCATTTCTAAATCCGTTGTTTCCTTTGTATTCCCTAGCATTTTCTGCACCCGAAACGAGACAAATATATCGCTAGAATATTAAAGGTAGAGAGAATAAGAATACTTGAGTGCAGAAGAAACGGACAGCTCTCTCTTGAATTGGATTCTCAATCCAGTGATGCCAATACATACGCACGAAAAAATCTGCAACTAAAAATTCCTATTTCAAATTATCAACCGTAAGGGTGCCGTCACATGCGGCGTTAACTTAAGCATAAGCGTAATCTGTGTATTCTAGTATTTTACTAAAATATGTTACGCCTTCTTTCACATAGAGCGTATTTCGCGGAATTTCGAAAAATGCATAATTAATATAACCAATTATTGATTAAAGTTTCTGTTGTACTCTCTAACAGAAATGCTAAATTAATTTGTGATTGGCTTTTGTAATCTGCGTATCTGCGAAAGGTACGCTTCATGGGGAACCGAGACTTTATATACGAATATGTATACGAACAAGTCAAGTAGATATAAACCTAATCTGTGAGAATGTAGAAGTCATCATGGATCCTGACTTGTTGTTATTAATAATATGGAAGCAATGGACAAAAGTGGAAGAAGATGAAATAATCTCAACAATAAGAAAATTAGACGATATAATTAATTTTAAAATTGTTTGGAATATAGGAAACTGATGATATACCAACAGGAAAAGTTCGTCATAGAATGGGTGCGTTCGACATTTGCAGAAGATTATTACATGATGACAGTGACAATCTGGTCAAAGAAATGGAATTTGAAGATTATGAAATGTTCTATATTATTGTAGAATGTCCATAGAATGTTCAATCAGTTGTTAGATATTGTTGGGCCACGCATTGAAAAACTTATAAATTAATTGATTATATATATATATATATTAATTATATATATATATATATGTATATTAATATATATATATATATATTAATATATATATTTATTATTAATTAATTTGATATGATTTAATTAATTATTCTTATATTAATTAATTAACTTATCTTGATTTGATCTTTATTCATTTTTGCTTGAAAAAGCTCTGATTATTCTGATTTATTCATGTATGTGTGTTTTCTCCGACAAAAAAAAATTGATTCAGTGTAACAATACAGCGTAAAGTAACTAGGCGGAATCTGATGTTCAAGTGAAAGGATGTGATTGGTCGGCGCAAGTTACGCTTAT